GAAACCAGTTCGAAAATAAAAGCTTTAAAACGCACAGGGATCGGGCATTGACTGGCTCTGTTCGATCCGCCAAGTAAATAACTGATAGGTAAAGGTTTTCACAATTTTTTTTCAATCATTGGTACATCGTTAGTTTATTATTTAAGTGTTAATGTAAATTGTACACGAAAATATACACCTAATTAATAACCTATTTCATTTTGAATATTTGCATGTCCTACGCAAAATAAAACTATAATTTAATAATTAAAATTTTAAAATGTATTAAGTTTTTAAATAACATAACCTAATCTTATTTAGGTGATTTTTTGCAATAAAACTTAAATTTTTTAAATTAGCTATAAACTTAATATAATAAATAGAATTCGAATAAAATTGTTTTTCCGAAGTAGAAAAACACTTTTTACAATAAAATAAAATAAAACATGTCAAAGTGAAGTTTTTTTTGAAATTTTTATTTTTTTTCATAAAATTAATATTTTTATCAAAAAATTGTTGTTTTATTCTTAAGTATTATAGATCGGGAAACGTCTTTAATATAAACTCTAATTTGTCAACTGAAGATGCACAGAGGGTGCAGGAAGGTATTATCCATAAAGCATGATTTATAGATTGCCTTTCTTTCTTCCTTTCTCCCGTAAAAGATAAAGTGCTTGTTCACGTAACCATAAAAAAAACATAAGAAATACATAAGGATACATAAGAAGCGTTCACAATGTGCATACTACGTAATCTTTACGTTTATGTGACTCTTCATAATGGACGTAACCATAAGATGCCCGTAAGAAATACGTACCTAAAACGTAAAGTTGAATATTAACAAAACCAGTGTGCCTGTTTATAATGAATAGCCGTAATTTTTACGTTTTACGTTCGAACATAAGATCTTATGGGTGACCGTAAAAAATACGTAAAGTTGAAATCATCTCAACTTTACGGGTTTCTTATGTGTGAATTTTAGTAAATTTTATGATTTCACTTGATTTCACTTGAACATTGGTAGCAATCAGGGTAGTAGCCATGCAAACAGATGACAGATCTTTTTTAAGTGTATTCTGGTGTACCCACAGAACAAACAATCTAAAGAACTAGTGATGCAGATATTCGGATGATTTAGATATTCGGATTATCCGGAATCGGAATATTTCAATATTCGGATTAATCATCCTATTCCGAATTCACATTTTTTAATTCCGAGTAAGCCAGTAGCAGTGACACTCACGGCATTTCAACAAAGATGGCGCTAATACCTTTAAACTCGAAACCAATTTGATTTAATTAACTAATTTTAAATTAAAACTGTCATTTTATTATAAATATATCAAAAATTAAGTAAATAATATTAGGCAAATATATATATAAAATAAATATATCAAAAATTAAGTAAATAATATTAGGCAATAAATATCTAATATAATTTTAAATGGTGTTCCGTATTGGTAATTGACATTAAACTATTTAGTTTTCATTTTTTTAACGTATGAGTCGTCATCGAGTTCGGTTGGTATAAACAATTAATTTTGATACCGAATGCAATTCATCCGAATTTCGGATTCCGAAACCGGATTTTTCATATGAGGATACGAAATTATTCCGAATCCGATTCCGATTCCATAAAATATTTAAATATTCGGATGCATCCGAATATCTTAAAACTCGGATTAAACGAATATTTTAATTCGAAATAGGACATCACTATAAAGAACCATTCCTTATCCTAAAGTTTTAGTTCGAGTATAATTCGACGAAATTCGCCCTTTTTTCTTTTCTTTGCCAACCTATATAGGTTGGCAAAGAAAAGAAAAAAGGGCGAATTTCGTCGAATTATACTCGCGCATTACACTGAGGTTATGATAACACTGATAGTTTTAACTTAATTTATATTTATAATTATAATTATTAAGACATAATAATTAGACGAAATCTGTCAATGCTGCCATTTTAGTGAACTTGGACATGCGCGCCTTATTAACATATACATAAGGCATACGTTCATTATAAACACAACTCATCGTTACGTACAAATTATGGTGAAATTATGTTTACGTTTTACGGTCATCTTATGGTTACGTCCATTATGAATGAGCACTTATGTAAAAATTATGGAGTACCGTAAAAATCACAATTATTATCAAGAGTTAACCAGCTGTTTACCAACTGTTATACAATTGGGTCTTAGTGTACCAATTTAATCTCAACTACACAACTAAATCCGAAATTTTATCATCAGCTGGGATGGAAACACGCATGCGCACAAACCTGATGTACGTTTAATGCCCATACTCCCGGTGTACTTCTAGTCACGGCGAATAAATATACCTAGTGTGTTCCATTTAAAAAATGCATGTTTTTGTTAAACCGCAAAAATGGGACACCCTGTATTATTGAAAATAATTTCTCGGCATAAAGATTTTCAAACCAATAATTTTTTATATGAAACTTTTTTTTAATTCTCCACGGGAAAAGCGCTAGGGCAGCCCGACGCACTGTTGCAGGACCCTGTATATTGTTTTTTCTGCAAAACATTTTATATATCGAATGAAATAAATATGGACATATGGCGCCTCATAAATTTGTTTTTAAGTTAAAAACAAATTTATGAGGCGTCATATTTTAAAAATTTTAACTAATTATATATTACATTTATGTGTATACTAGGGGTGTCAATCCCGGGATCCCAAAATCCCGGGGTCCCGGGATCCCGTAAAAATCCGATCCCGAAAATCCCGAGATTAAAAGTCCCAATCCCGGGATCTTAGTAATAAGTTACAAAGAATAAAATAGACTTTTTTTAAGCATATGACATTTTTCATATTATAATACTCATAAGCATATATATAAACACTTCATTTTTTTACTCAGTTCAAGTCAAATTATTATACACCGCCGTACAATAATGAAAATACATTGAAATTACATAGCAAGAGTGGTTCCATCTATAGCATAAAATCAGCAAAGAAAATGTAAAATTACATGTCACTGTAGAATAAATTTATGTACATAACCTATAATATAACATATTTCAAACGTCAAACCTGAAAAAATGTCACAAACTTGATAATTTCAATGTAAGTTACAGCCCCAATTGGAACTCACCAAGGCCCGATTGATAAAAGAAATGGAATTATTTGTTAATGGGGGTAAACGTGGGTACAATGTGCCTACGAATTCTTGAAAGCCATTCTTCCGACTAGTGTGAAGTCCGAAAGATATCGTTCGTTAGTTTGTTTGTTGTTTTATTTTAAATTCGTTTTAAAATTAATGATATATATTTTTTCGGGACTGATCCCGGGATCCCGGGATTAGTTACCCTTGGTCCCGAAAGGCCCGGGATTGGAAAATGGGCTCGGGATTGACACCCCTAGTGTATACACATGTATTGATTCAATACTATTGAATAAAAAACAGAATTTATAAATAAATTCATTAAATTAAATGTTTGTGATATGGGTTGCCTACTTCAAGGTTTTCAAGTTGAACGGCCATGCACCAACACTTGTTTCTTTCAGTGTTGCCAATGACCGTGCAATTGCACGGTTTGCGTGCGTTTTCATGCCTGACCGTGCATTTTGCGAACATCGTGAGAAACCGTGCCTTTTGCGTGCGTTTTGAACATACGACATTAAAAAAAATATTTAAAATACTTGGCAACATTAAAATTAAAAAAATGCAATTAGAAACTTGGCAACATGACATTGTGGGCGGGGTCAGCAGTACAATTTTAAATTTGCCGGTATTTATAGTGCGTAAGTTACAAAAAAGATGGCGTGAGCAATGCTTACTGAGACAAGACACTCTAGTCACTAGAGTCTAGTAGAGAAGAGGGCATCTTTTTTTTACTGCAAGAACATTAAACATTAAATGTTAATAGGTATACATCTACGTAAATAGGTATACCTACTCCTACTACCTATACATAGGTAGTAGTATATAGGTATAGGTAGTAGTACTACCGTAGTACCATAATGATTTAACAGTGATAGTACTGATTCATCTAAACTTACACCCAAATCACACCACATTAAAAAATTGTAGAAAATTATATGCCACCATATACCTATAATATATAGGTTATAGTTATAGGTAGATATATGTACGCCGAATCTAGGAAATAATACCCCTGGAAAAAAAACCACGGAAAAAAAACCCCCGAAAAAAAAACCCCCGGAAAAAAAACCCCTAGGAAAAAAAACCCCTAGGAAAAAAAACCCAAGGAAAAAAAAGCCAAAAAATAAATCCCGGTTTGACGAGTGTCACATAAAAAATGCAAAAATTGTAAAAATACCGCAAAAATGAGCGAAACCAACCCAAATCAACCCAAACTCAACAACACAACCCTACCGACCCCGCCCCATTGGCCCCCCCCGCCCCATTGAGTAAAAATCCCCGAAATTGGCAAAAATAAAAAAAAAAATTGCAAAAATCAATGCCCAAAAATGCTAAAAATTGTAAAAAAAATTGTAAAAAAATTCTAAAAAAGTTAAAAAAAATATAAAGAAATTGTTAAAAAATTCCGAAAAAAATTGTAAGGGAGTATTTTTTCCTGTAGGTTTATTTTCCTAGGGGTTTTTTTTCCGGGGTTTTTTTTTTCGGGGGTTTTTTTTCCAGGGGCTTTTTTTCCGTTTACCATGTACGCCACTGCCCATTTATTATAGAAACAATATTTCTACGAAAATGCTTAAAAATTAAAAAAAATAGTACTTTTATAACACAAACAAAAAATACTGCGTACAAAACTTGTGCATTTTGATTCCTGGGACCGTGCAAAACCGTGCGTTTTGGAGCACTTCACCGTGCAATCTAACAAATGTTCATTGGCAACACTGGTTTCTTTGCACATGCCAAGTATTTATTATTTTTCCGCTGTGATATTTAAGTTGGCAACATGTCATGTTGCCAACTTCGATATTAGGGCATGTTAAACATGCATTTTTAGCCAAAATCGGCAAAACGCTTTAGTATAATGCCGCGTTTTCTTTATCCTAAACGTGTTTTTGCAGATTCCAGTTCTTCGGCAACGGATCCGATAGCGGGCGCGGAAACCCCGGAGTATGGGAACGTTCCGGGGGCGGAACCGACGCCGCCGCCGGAGCCGTCGCCGGATTATCCGAAGATACGGATCAAAACCACCGGATTGTTAAAGGAACCGCAGGGTTGCACGATAACCGAGATTACAGACGACAATCCGAATGGCGATCCGAATATCGGTACGTAACGACGTGTGTTTTTTGTTTTGTTTAGTTTAGCGTTCGTTTGTTTTGATTGGTGTTCTTTGATTTTGATCTTATTGGGTAAAATAAACTACCAATAAGTGTAGCTTGAAATTAGTTCAAATCTTGACCATAATATATTATATTATAATTATAAGGTCCAAGATTCATATGTAAGTTATGTCATGTTTTGATGTTTTTGGTGTTTTTTTTTAGATTTTTTCGCATTTTCAGGCCAAAACAATGAAAATAACATGTGGAACGCACCTTCTTTAGAAGATCCTTTAAAAATTACTGATCTTAATGACGACAACAATATTATGGCCCTTTTTAATAACAATGACAAGGCTAAAGATTATGGTTTTTGCACGAGTGATAGTGAATACATTTCTCTGGACAGACTAGGGGACAATAACAGAGGGGCTATGGTAAATAAACACGCATAACCCCAAACACCCTTTCTATCGTAACCTTAAACTTTTAGCAATTGTACAACCCAAACAACTCTGTAGTGCCAACTTCAAGCAGCAACAATCCATTGGATTCTTTGACAGGGTTGCCAATGCAAGCATTGGCACAGCAGGTCTCCAGGTTGCAACCTTCGGGAAGTTCAAATCAATTGCACCAGCAGAATGTTTTGATCAATATTCAGCAATTTCCTGCACCTCCTCAGCCTCAATATCAACCCCCAATGTATACTCATCATCCACAGCCCCCCATGTATCCCCCATATCAGTACCAGTAAGTAAAAAATGTTTTTAGTTAAAACAATAATTATGGGATTTTCTAGGATATGTTAGACTATTTTATAATTTTTGTAATTAAAAACTAAACAAATTCTATACAAAACAAGGTTTTTATATTTGTTTATTTGCCGTTTGGTAAAATAAGTATTTTTTCAATATTCTAAATTCATGAATTTACAATTACCATAGTAAAAGTGTAAGATTTATAGGGAACCAGTGGCGTAATTAAGCAAGTGTTCGCCCCCGCGAAATTTTGATAGCGCCTATGCAGTAGGGTGGGCCAAAAACATACATGAAAAAATAAAAATTGGGCAAAATCTTTCCTGATAGCAAAAATAATGTGCCTTTAGGGCACTACATTCACCTGGTAAAAGCATTTTGTATAATCCTCTAATATTTTCTGGCGTCGCAAGGGTGTCTAAATTTTTTGTCTTGGTTTATTTTAAAAGAAAGGATTTTTTAACTTTTAAAATAATATTATTGTTATTTTAACTTAAAAAATGTGATTAATACATAAAATATTAAAAAAAAATATATTTTAAAATCCAGTTTTGTTCTTAATTTTGGTATCATATTCCTAGATGCTATTCTTTATCTAATGAAACCATCTAGGTACATTGTTGGCCATAATTTTTGCAACCACCATAAAAAAAATCTAACTCTAAAACGCCTTTAGTATTCTTTATGAAATTTTGGATAAAAATACTTCAACTTATATCTTAGACCGTATTTTTGTTAGTATTCCCTGAAAATTTTGTACAAATCAAATGAACAGCAACGAAGATACAGCGATTCAAAGTCGTCAAAAATGACCACACAAATAATCAAAAAAGGGGCCTTTTTTACCGACTTTAAAAGCTTATTCACATCCACTTAATACGCGTAACTTAACTTAACGTACGTGATAGACATAAGTTGAAATACATTGAAACCAATGCAGCTGTTTACATTCGTAGAAAACTTATCACACGTAACTTAACGTATCCAAAAGTTGGATCCGGCTCAACTTAAGGGAATACGTTTCTTACGTGAGCCAATCACATGCCCAGTAAAACGATATAGCGCTATCTTGTTGTTTCACTTTTATAGATAGATAGGCAACCCAGTCTACATCCATGTCTACATTTCGTGTGCTTGTATATTGCGTTCTTTGCGTGTATTAAGTTAATGTAAACAGACAACTTAACAGACGTAGGTTTCTTAAGTTAAGTTAAGTTAAGTTACGCATATTAAGTGGATGTGAATGAGCTTTAAAGCGCTGTATCTTCGTTACTGTTCGTTTAATTTGTACAAAATTTTCAGGGTATACTAACAAAAATACGGTCTTTAACAGCATATTTTTTATTTTAAAAGTTATTTTTCGAACGTTTTTTTATTATTAAATAAAAGGGCTTTAAAAAATTTTCTCGAAAAACCCTTGAACACATAAGTTGAAGTATTTTTATCCAAAATTTCATAAAGAATAATAAAGGCGTTTTAGAGTTAGATTTTTTTTACAGTGGTTGCAAAAATTATGGCCAACACTATATCTATGGCGCGCCGTTTTCAGTTCAAAATTTGCTATTTTAAATATTTTTAAACTAAAAATTATCGGTTTGCATTTGTAATGTTAAAAAATGTTAAACTTTATGTAATTTATTGATTGAAGAAGAGTGGTATCTCTTTCTCTTTTATATAATTAAAAAAAGACGACGTGCCTTTTCACGCACGCGCTATCCAAAAGTCCGTTTTATGGGATAGGTCTATTGGGATTGAGATAATTGTATGGGATTTGAAATTGTATTGTAAAAAAAGCGGGAGATACGAATAATGAAGTTAGTTTTTAGTTAGTTGAAAGTTGTCAAATATCATAAATCGTTAAAATAAATTGCCATTCTTGTAAAATAATACTAAATGTGAAAATTATTTTATTATCTCAATACGAAAATACAAAAGTAAACAAAAGTATTAAATAGTTTCTCAACGCCAATATTTGATAAGTTTATATGAACATTGTACTGACGTTTTAATTTCGCCGGCAGTAAACTATAACTTAAATTGGGGCACGGACTCCACTGTAAAGTGCTCATAAAACATTCTCTTTACTTTCACTGTGAAAAACTGTCCATTTTCAATTTACATTTCGATTTATAACCTTTATAATTGTGTTTATAAAATGTAAAAATGTGACATTTGACAGTTTCCCCTGTTGTTTCATAGATGGCGCTCTATACAAATGTTTGATTTAAATCATTTTAAGATAATAATAAGTATTTGTCGTAGAAAAAGTATAGTATGCACCTCGTTTATAAACTTTTCTATACACTCATTAATTTAAGAACTCGCTCGCAAGCTCGCTCGTGCCTAAATTAAATTCGTGTAAAAAATGGCGTTTATCAAACTTGATACATAATATACTATTAATACTTACGTAACCAAAAAAAATAGATTGAATTTGTCAAACACCTTGACTTTCTGACACCTTTCTGACACCTGAGACTCTATATTCCGGTGTGTTCTCCCATTGTTTATTATATCTTTGATGATACTTTGGTTTCTTTTTTTGGGGTGCTTCATCACTAGTGCAGCTGCTATTGTTATCACTTTTAGAATTCATGGTAATAGACCTATTCCATAAAACGGACTTTTGGATAGCGCGTGCGTGAAAAGGCACCCCGTCCTTTTTTTAATTATAAAAGAGAAAGAGATACCACTCTTCTTCAGGCACGCGCTATCCAAAAGTCTGATTTATGGGATAGGTCTATTGATTCTAAAAAGTCAAAATAACAACAAACAAAACTGTTAATTGTTACTAACTTCTTTTTCTATGTTTATGCCTAAGAAAAATAATTTCATCCAATCAAATTTGAATATTCGCGTACTACTAATTTGGTTGGCTGAAATACCCCGTGACTGAGACACTGACATCTGTGAATGATAGAACCAACTAATTGTGTCATATCAATATTTGGTTTAGGCAACCCATATTTACTTTTGTTTCATATAAATTGTATAATACGAAGTAGAGTTTGTGAATTTTATTTATTAAAAGAAGTAAAAAAAGCGGGAGATGTTTTTCAATAGCGGTAGAACGGGAGATTGTTTCCAAAAACGGTATATCTGCCGCTAAAACGGGAGACCTGGCATCATTGGGTGTGGATCACAGAACATAATGTGGATCACAGAACATGTGTGGATGCTGCTCCACAGAACAAAATACAGGGTTGCCACTCATCTGGAAAACCAACAGACCACCAAAACAAATGGACGGATTTGTTTACGTTGAAAAAGCGAGTAAAGCATACTTCTTAATAGCAAAAAAGTTTAGTACTAATAATTTGTAAAGGAAATTATTGTTATAATGTACCTTTGAAAGTGTTTTTTATTTAAATCTAAATTATAACTCAAAAGTTATTTTTATCGCCTACTAATATACCTCACGATATACATTTCTGAATAACCAGCGTTATATCGGCATCGGGTTAAATTTTAAACCAAATACGAAGTTACAGAATCGCTCTAGAGATTTTAACCAGTCGATATGATATAACCCAGGGTTATTTATAACTAAAAAGTTACAGAATAGACCCCTTGTGGTATTATAGCTGATAAATGTTATTTTTCATTTTCTAAACCGTTCCTTTTCGATAAACGCTATCCATATGTCATTCCACATTAAAAAGTGATATTAGAACCGTCAAATTCCGTAGTAGGAGTAGAAAAAATTAATTTTCAACCTGTATAAAAGTATTGGGTCAAGATACGCTTGTACTAGACTAAATGCTTTTTTACTGATCCATTTTCTAAACCTTTTTCAGGCCGAACATGTACTATCCGCCTGCTCCTCCTGGCTACCCGCCGCAGCACATGCCGCCCCCGATGCAACCGCCGCCGCCTCAAATGGCGGGACCGCCGGGCGTGCACCCGCATCCGCAGCAGCCGCCGCCCCCACGCGGACAAGGTTCGCCTGCCTCCAACCAGAACCAGCAGCTTCAACCGCAGGGTCAAGGCTACCGCCAGCCGATGCCGCCCAGGCAGCCCGCCCCGCGCCAGCAGGTAAGAAAGTCTACTTTTTTTCAGCATTTTAAAACCCAAAAAGTCGATTTTGTGAGATATTTCACTACTAGGTACTATATTATACAGGGTGCACCAAGTATTCTTGTATGTGTATTATACACATAGAAGAATACTTATATGATTTGAAGAACTACATGGTCAGTTAAATTAGAAAAAAGTTGCGTTGTTACAAGCCTATTAAGATGAAGTTTATAAATTAAACAAAAGCCACCGGTTCTTATATTAAAAAAAACAAAATACATCAAACCAAAATCGTTATAACTTATAACCTTTTAAACATACACTTTAGTTTACATTTTCATCCAATTTCTTTGCTACTATATTTTGAGTTACTATCACCACAAGATACATACACGTTAAGATAGGATGGTGCGCATGTTGGGCGGGGCTTAATGACGTCACTTGATGAGTGTTTTTAAATCTTTAACGTGCTTTTTAATTATCTACTGATAAAATTCTTGTTTTTGCGATGCTTTTGGATGTTAACTTGCTTTACTTTTTGTTTAACTTGTCGTTTTTGTGTTCGGTAAGGTTCAAATTACTTTTCAGCGTTCAAATTATTGTTATTGCGTTAGGTTAACCTGTTAGGTTTGTTTATTATTGTTTTTGTGTTGCGTTAACTTGTTTTGTTTGTGTTTTAGATTGTATAGTGCCATTTGCATTTATTAAAACGCGGTGTGGCATATTTGGATGCAATTCGGACAACCAGTCCAAGAAAAATCCTTTAAATAAAAACATTAAATTTAATCGATTCCCGAAAAAGTTTGATTTGTGGAAACAGTGTTTAAATGCCACAAAAATAATAGACAATATTTACGTTAAGACCGCTTCTGTTTCCTATAAACATTTTCTGGAGAGTGACTATAAGTTTAATTTAAAACACCAACTCTTAAACTACAGCCCTAAATGTTATCAAGGAAGCATTTATTATCCATATTATAACACTTTCTTCAATATTAAGTCTAATAAAAACGCACTATGTCCAGAAATTTCTCTATTTTCTTTGATAATATTACTATTATTCGTGTATTCGCACGGCAACTACTCATCAAGTGACGTCATGCGCGGGACGAACCAAAACTCGTACACGGGAGCATCCAGCCCTGCTATCACCATATTTTGTTTTTATAATGGCCGCGATAGCTGTCAAATACTAGGTACCCTAAATTTATAATTGGCTACATTGAGTAAAACAAACTAATATAGGGGAGAATATAATAATTATTACAATTCTTGTGTTTGTAATTATATATATTTTGAAATGTCAAATATAATTATTATGTGAAATAATAAAAAAATATTTAAAAAATTGTGTGAATACTTAAATTTTGTCCATTGGTGAATGGTTCTTTCACTGAAGTCGCTAAACGGTAAGTACTTGTAGCTCGTTAATAAGGATTATATTACTCCAAAAATATCTTTTACATGGTTAATAATTTGCTCCTTTGTGGCATTAGGAATTATTTCATCAAAATGCTGTTTTGTTTTTAATATTTCTTTTCGTTTAGAATGTCTTATATACGTACATATACAGACTGTATAGAATCAAGTAAGTAAGGCTGGAGACAAGGATGAAAAATTATATTCTGATCAGAGAAAAAGAAACAAACTTTAATTGGGCGTGGTTTAAACCAAGCCATTCGTAATTACGAACCATAGTTGCCAGGTTGTTTTAAATCAGAATAATAATAATAATATTAATAATAATAATTTATTTGCCCAACAGAAAATACATTTCCAATAAAAGGACAAAATAATAAATGTAAAGGTTACCTATAGCAAAACATTTCTTTAGCAACGACTAATATATAAGATAAATTAGAAAAAAACATATCACATACATGGCTTATCTGGTTATAGTTATTAGATATAACATGCACTGGTGAGTTAGCTAATATTACAGTACGAGCATTATCGCAGTAGAACATATAGTTATTACGAGAATTTAGTCTAGGAACATATAGATTAAACATTAATAAAATATTACAGCAGTCAATTTCATTGTGAAAAATTTTGTATAAGAATTTTAAACCAGAACAAACTCTTCTAAACTGAAGTGAATCAACATCAAATCGATCAAGCAGTAACTGATGTTCAATACCTCTGGTTGGGTAAATATTATCTAGCCTGAATGATAATGCATTTTTTCAAATAAAAACTAAGTATACAATATATTGTTTAAAATCCATTAAATTCCAGTTAATGGCGAAAATGTATTTCTTAAAAACTATTCACATTTCCCTACGACAGCGTCGGACCTACTGAACAAACTGCATGCCCTTGTTTCTGGCTGCATGCCTCGCTGTTGCCATATGCTATTATTGTTTCCTAAAAGGGTTGTTTTTCTTATTTTTTAATATTAAAAGTAAGAAAATTAACTAAATCAAATTATTTTTGACATATTATTAATTTTTTTGTTATTTTTAAAGTTTCAAACAAATAAAATTGAACTATTTATTAAATAATTATAATCGTTCTCAATCAAATGTTGATGATTGTTTAGAGCTGCAGAATCAGCTGAATGTAGTACATCAATGGTGCAAATTAAACAACCTAGTTTTAAACATAAAAAAATGCAAAACATGTACCTTTTCATTAAGGAAATATCCAACAGTTTTCCAATACTCCTTAAACAATAATGTTCTTTCTTCTTGTGATGTATTAATGATCTCGGTGTCTACTTTGACAATAAATTGTCATTCTCTACTCATATACAAAATTTAAGCCCGCTGCACAACAGCCCGGTAACGGGAACGGGAAACTAAACGGTAAAGGTGGGAGAGACTCAGCGAACCCTATTTATCAACATTGGTTTTTTAGTCTCTCCCACCTTTATTGTTAGGATTCCCGTTCCCGTTACCAGGCTATTGTACAGCGGGCTTTAGTTTCCCAGGCATTTAAAGTATTGTGCTTCATAAGCAGGAACTCTCGAGGATTTAAAAATGAAACAGCGTTCAAATCTTTATATTTTTGCTTGATAAGATCTAAAATTGAATATTGCTCCATAATTTGGTCTCCGCACTTTAATAACTCAGTTATAATGATTGAGAATGTTCAACGTAAATTTTTAAAAATATTATCATTCAGGCTAGATAATATTTACCCAACCAGAGGTATTGAACATCAGTTACTGCTTGATCGATTTGATGTTGATTCACTTCAGTTTAGAAGAGTTCATCGTACATGTTTCCATGAAACTAAGTGACCTTTTAAATACACATTGACAGGTTTTTAGTCACGGGTTGAAGTTAGTTTTAAGTTAGTTGACATTTGTCAAATGTCATACAATCGTTAAAATAAGGTGCCTTTCTTGTAAAATAATACTAAATGTGAAAATTATTTTATCTCAATACAAAAATATAAAAGTATTAAATAGTTTCTCAACGCCAATATTTGAAAAGTTTATATGAACATTGTACTGACCTTTTAATTTCGCCGGCAGTAAACTATAACTTAAATTTGGGCACGGACTCCACTGTAAAGTGCTCATAAAACATTTTCTTTACTTTCACTGTGAAAAACTGTCAATTTTCAAGAAATACATTTCGATTTATAATGTGTTTATAAAATATAAAAATTTGACATTTGACGGTGACACACAGATTCCCCTATTGTTTCATAGTTGGCGCTCTATACAAATTTTTGATTTAAATCATTTTAAGATAATAATAAGTATTTGTTGTAGAAAAAGTATAGTATGGACCTCGTTTATAAACTTTTCCATACACTCATTAATTCACTAAATTAAATTCGTGTATAAAATGGCGTTTATCAAACTTGATACATAATATAGGTAAAGTGACGGATCATCCCATTGACATCAAAATGTAAACTTCCTTTATAGACATTTAACCTTACTACCAGTTATCATCATTCTTGTCATTTTGACAGCGAAAGCAAAAAAGGTCACACAACAAACGGAAAATTATAGAAGTGTATAGGATGACTCCGCGTTTGAATATCAAATCTTAAAGTTTTATTATAACTGTATTGAATTGTGCTTTGTTTTTATATTTTTCGGCTCTATACCTATGCACGACTATATTTAAAGTCAAACTCAATGGTGTCTTACAAGATACATTATTTTGATTTTCTATATTCAACAGAGAGGTAGAAACTCGACCCTGTCGAATGGTGCAGTCATTTATGTCTCTAGAAATTATTAAAAAAGGGTTCAGTCCAATGGTGCAGCAACTTCGGATTCCTATTCTCCTCAGAGACAGAAAGTCAAGCTTTTCGAATTTTACTGGCAATGATTTTCGTTAATGTCCCCGAGAATTATACAAAAACAGCGCAATGCAATATCGCAACGGTTTCGACTTCTCTTTACTCTTTAGTTATAGAAACTGGAGTCTCACTAATACTGTTCTAGTCAATATTTCTGAGAGTATAAAAAGAGAGTGTAATATTGCAAGAAGTTTTGATCTTTTGATGGATGCAAGTAGTTTGAATTTTCTCATTTCTGCATATGATTTTGTTGAAAATAGTTGCTTTCTTTGTTTCCTTTGTCTGATTTTTATTTACCGTAACAACTCAGGTATGTAAAGCACAGAGGATATGATGTTAAGTATATTTATGTATTATATAAAGTACCTATATTTGTATTAAAAATTTCAGAGGTTATGTTGAAAAAATGATCGATATGCTAAGTATTAAACTTTAATAATTTAGTAATGAGGTCTGTTGGTAGACCCTGCACTATCTCCACTGGTATATGTTAGTACAGCAATATTTAAATCTGGTTGATGAAAAAGTACACACCAGTGCAGGTTATTGTAGAATCTACGAACAAATGAATTAATGGCCCATTGGCAATTATTCCTTTAGGAAAAATATTCAACACAGCTTAATTAATTAATAAAATGAAAAAAAATCACAATCATGTCGTATATAGTTTTTTTAAGCATAAAATAATTTTTATATTAATACTAGTTCAAAAGTGAAATTACGACCTCTATACTGTGGAGAGTATTGAAACGCTCGACTGACGAATACAAATCTATACCGTGGGGAGATTTAGAAAACAATATTCAAACGTGGCGTCATCCTATACACTTCTATAATTTTCCGTTTGCTGTGCAATATTATATGTTTGCTATTTACAGATTTATACATGGAGAACCAAATTATGACGTACAAAATTCCGTGTCCGTCACTGTTCTATTATATATGAAGGGGTAATAAGTAAAAAGGTTCAAGTGCAAAAAAGAAAAGTGAAGTTATGAACTTTTAAAGTTTTTGCTATATACAAAAATCTGGATACTTTAATACTTTCAATATTGTTTGCATTAATCAACATGCAGAACTCGTACAATTATGACGTTATGAGAAAATGTTTAAAAAATTTGGACTGTAAACTACACAATTCTGCACTTTATATATTTATAATCTTTATGATAAAATTGAAATTAAAAAAATCATGATAAAAAATATACATAGCATATTTATATTTTAAAATAAAATATATGTTTTTGTATTCATTTTAACTTGTTTAGGATTTTATTTGTTATTGTCATTTTAATAATTTAAAATCGTAATTTTTTGTTAAAGAACCCGGGGCAGCGAATGTCGATGGCGCCCCGTCAGCCAGGCATGGGCGCACGCGGTCCCAACGCACCGCGCCAGAGGGCGCCGATGATGCGTCCGCGAGGTGCCGCGCCCATCGGGCCGCAGGGACCGCGGGGCGTCCGGCCTCGAATGGGCGTGCCACAGAACGGGCAGGTTCGACCGCATAATTCGCCGGTTAAGCGAACGCCGGAGCAGATGGCGCAGCTGCAGGCCAAAAAAAAGAGGTTAGATTTGCTGACGCCCGACAAGGACGACGACGATTGTCAGGTGATTTCCATACAGCCGAAAAATACGGATGGAGGGTTGCCGCAAATCGAGAGTGTTCAGGTAAACATTTTTGTTTTATTTTTTTAGTTTTTAATTTTTCTACTGAACGTTACATTTATTAATTGTAATGTTACAAAAATCTTTGTGGCAGCTCATCAACATTTCATTTAAAATGTTACAAATAAAATGTTGCTAAAATGTTACTTTAATTTGATTGCAATGTTACTGAATGTAACATTTATTAGGTTGTCTTGCAACGTTGGTCTTAATTAGAAACATTCCTTATATGTCATAAATTAAATGTTATTTTTTCTAGATTTTCTAGATTTTTTTCTCAGGGTATTTGATTTTTTAACGAAAAGTATATTATTCGTAGAATATTTCGATACACGATTTAAAGGAATTCGAATTATTCGAAATTTTTCGAATTATTCGAAATTTTTCGAATTATTCGAAATTTTTCGGATTATTCGATTTTTTCGAATTATTCGTAGAATTTCGAATCGAATATCAATATCCGATTCGATTCGATTCAAACGATATTCGCACACCCCTAATAAACAAGTTTAAACGGTTTGAATCCAACCACAGATCAAACACATTTATTAATTCCTAGGTTTATAACTTGGAAACATATTCTATTATTATACCCGGCGAAACGATGTCGACAAGTAATGGTGGTTTCGTTTTTCCTGACAGAGGTTATCATTGGCTTAAGCTTTAGCCCCCCTATTCTCGATCTAAAACATTCGCCAACCATGGCTGCACCGGATGAAATGTTCAAAAATAATGGTGTTCTATCGCCGATTCTGTAGGTGATAAATTAACGAGATCGGATTTGATTTTCACGATTCGTCCACGATAACAGCTTCAATAAAACGAGGGGTAAACCACTGATTTTGTAAAATTAAAAATCGCATACGAATTAACGGCTAAGGAATACAATCACAAGGGTAGTCATGCGCAACGCGTCGAAATTTCTTATTGATAAAGATTTTTTCTTATTGATAACGACTGATAAGGAAAAATCAGAACACACAACGTCCATATAACGTTGAACGTTGGTCTTGCTGATTTTAAATTGGTTTACCCCTCGAATAAAAAATAATCTGGATATTTTTGTTACTTTCTTCTTCTTAAAGCGTAATGAAAATGTTTTACCCTGTTGAAGCTACATTGTTGTAGCCAGGTTTCTTTGATTAAAAAAGCTGTAACGGTTTCAAAAGATGGGAAAAATGTGTGCATTGCCCTATATGAAGGAAAAAGCAATAAAACAAGGATCTAAAGCTGTTCTCTTGCAAGAATGGTGAAAATTAAATCCAATCTCGGTAATTTGCCACCCACACAATCACTGGCTGAACATCATTCTTTTCGAAAATTTTATCAGATTCAGGCATAGCTGGGAAAAGAGTAATGCTAAAAACTTGTGACGACCTCAGGAGGGATGGTCGACATTATTTCGTGCTGGTGTACGAATCAAGCAAGCAGATGTCTAAGAGCCGGTTTAAAATGTTTTGTATCCGGGAAAATATGTTCAAACGCTCGTGGATTGGTCGCCTTTCGCACCATGCTCCATTTTTTATATTAGAAAATTAATAGGGCAACAAAATGTTTATCGTAATAATTTACCGTAAAATGCAGTTTGCAAAATATTTGCAAAAAAGTAAAAAAAACATTTTTATTTTAAGAAACTAGGTATGGGTATTTTTTTACTTATTTGTATAAAAAACACTTTGGACAAAAATTATTGTAAATTTTATAAAAAATAATTTTGCAATATACGGGGCCGAGATATTCGCTAAAAACAAAAAAAATGTATCTTTGTAAGAAAAAATGGGCAGGTGTTAATTTAAATAAACCCCTACCTATTTATGAAAAAAACAGACAGTGCCTTGGCACGCAAGGTCAATCCATTTTTCAACAGGGTTTGACTGGACTACGTGTCCAGTTTAAATAATTGAGTAAAAATATCATACCTTATAATATTGCCGATATTACCAAGGGCATCCCTTCTTTTCAAGGGAATACTTTAACTAAAAATGTTACTACTCAAATATAGGGTGTCCCGAAAATAGTATGCAATACTTTACACATGGTTCCTAGAGACAAAAATAAAAAATCTTCTTATAAACATGGGCAAATGGCCCCTAAGATGCTTTTTTATTATTATTTTTTAAACAGTTTGGGAAATAGTAATTTATGCTGAATTTAAAAATAACAAAAAATCTATTTTGTGTATTAAGCCCCCAATTTTTTGTGTGAAATTTTTTTGCAAGTTGGCTGCAGAATATAAATATTTAGACTTTTTTTGTTAAATATCGATAAAATGCAGCATTTTTAAATGGAAATAAAATAAAAAATTAAAAAAAAATCGTTTTTTTACAATTTAATATATTAAGCAAGAGATATAAAAAAATGCATAATTTATATTACATTTCCCAAAAATACATTATTTTATCTCAAAACTTTTTCAGAATTAATACAATAAATCTTCAGGGCATTTGCCGACCTAGATTCATAAAATGTTTTCTTCCTATTTTTGGCACTAAAAAACCGCTTGTAGATTATTGCACACTATTTTCGGGACACCCTGTATATTGTAAGAAGCAAAAGGGTACAAGTGCAAAAAAGTGAAATTAAGTTATTAACTTTTAAAGTTTTTGTTATATACAAAAATCGAAATACTTGTTTTAATATTGTTGTTTGCATTAGGGTTATTCCACGGTACTCGGGGTTGTTTGTCTCAATTAAAAATTATGAGTAAAAACTACACGTTATAAAATTTATTTTAAAATATTGTTTATTATGCTTTTAATAAGTTATAAGCACAATAAAAATAATATTATAAAATATTAATTTAATAACTTGTGGGTTTTAGAAATTACCGAGTAACTTGGAATGCAACATGCAATTTTCACGTTATAAGAATTTTTTTTTAAATTTGGACTCTAAACTACACAATTCTGCACTTATTTTCATGTTTAAATGCACTTGTACCCTTTTTTCCTCTTAAGGGTTAATTTGTAATGTTTAAATATTTTTTCTTTTTATTTTTTTCTTGAAAATTTTTTTTTTTTATAATTTGAATACATTAATGGGAAATAAAAGAGTAGCCATTTGATTAACAATGTTAAAAAAAATACATCTGCCTGAAAGTTCTGCATAACTCTTTGCAGCATATCAACACGTATTGCTGCAATCTCGTCACGAATTCGTTGTTTGAGGCCCGGGATTGTCCTGGGTGGATCAGTTGCAAAACTTTTGTTTTTAGATAACACCAAAAAAAGAAGTCGCAGACAGTAAGGTCGGGAGACACAACTTGACCGCTTTCCAGTGAATGAAAACACACTTTTTCAACAAGACAGTGCAACAAGCCACACTGCAAGATGTTCAATGAATGCTGTGAATGCATTGTTCCCAGGGCGTTTCGTTTCTTGAAACGGGGATATCGGTTGGCACCCTCGGTATCCCGACCAACTGATAGACCTAGGACACCGGCCCTTAAACAACGAATTCGTGACGAGATTGCAGCAATACCTGTTGATATGCTGCGAAGAGTAATGCAGAACTTTCAGGCTCGACTCCAAGAATGAATGAATGCATTTGGCAAATGTAGTATTCAAAAAATATTGCTTTTTAACATTATAAAGCAAAAGGCTACTCTTTTATTTCCCTTTAATTGGATAAAGCTTATCGAAAAGGAACCAAGCGCCAACAACTTTTTCTGGGCTTAGTAAAATTATAATTTATAAATAATAAATAATTATTTGTAAAATAACTCATATTTAATAATGCTCAAAAGGTTAATCATCATTTGGAACTTTTCTCAAAAGGATTGAGAAGGTTCCTAAATTATTACTAATTTTTTGAGCAGCGTGAAAAATGAGTTATTTTGCAAATAATTGGACGGCTTTCTGCAGAATGGGACCAACCCACACCATGATGAAACTGAGAAAAAAGCTATCAAAGATTTTAATAATTTTAAAATTACCTGTTAATTTTATGCCGATTTTGGACTTACTGAGGTTTAAGAGATATAATTTAATAATTTCATCAGGTGGATTTTGTGATGTTATGTGTAAGGGTGACGAAAAAAATGGGCTTTTGTTGGTTGGTTCCTTTCTGCAATTTATGAAAACTACTATCTGATGTATGTATGTATTTAAAGAAAAGCGACAATTATTTATTTCCAAACAAAATACAACTGATATTACTATTATAATGGTAATATGAATTAATTTTGATTCTATTTGAAATTCGTCCACATCATCTTCCAACCCCACCTCATCTTGTAAGCTACTAAAAAAATGCATCAAGACTCTATATTTTGCAGAAGCAGGAAATCTTTAAATACTTTGGTAGTGGGTCTACCAGCCTGCATTTTTACAAAAAATATCCAACCCACTTGCAGATATTCTACAGATTCTAATTCTGGATTAGTAATCCACACTATTATTGAATGTTGGTTGGTTCAATGATTAATAGATTTCACTACACTTGCATTTTGGCTATGACCTATTTTGCAGATAAATTATACATACTTAATTAGTTCATAGGCTAAATATCTCGATTTTTTTGGTTTTGTGGGTTGGTTCCTTTCTGCAGAAAGGCGTCCAATTTTGTTTACCCCAGAAAAAGTTTTTGGCGCTTGGTTCCTTTTCGATAAACGCTATCCAATTCAAATGAACAAAAATTATTAACGAAATCTTCCCTATTGTTTGCCGAACCCTGTATAAGACCGTGCTTAAGACTGTCAAAAGGTTATTGTTCATTGTTTTTACACATCCTTAGTAACATTTAGTTTATTTTTTCTCAGGGTGGCACCACCGAACCGGCGGAGAACAGCATTATGCACCTTTCGGACTCGATCACGTTGTCGGTTCGAAACCCGCCGCCGAAACCAGTGGAGGTGGTAAAAAAATCCGACGCGAGCGCCGTCGCCAACATTCTGGCGACGCGCGGCATCACCGTCACCGCCACCGCCAAACCGAAGGAGATTACTAAGTCGACGGCGGCGCCCGCCCTACCTGCCTCCCTGAATCTCAACGGCGCCGTCAGCATCCTGCCCGCCGCCAAGACCAACGGCAATACTGCGAAGGTAAGACGGACATTTTTAAAAATGGGAATCTGGGGTAAAGAGTGCGCAGTTTTGTAGGCTTAGGTGGCCCAAGCGTGCGCAGTTAAATTTTAAACATTTTAGGTCACTAAATATGGTAGGGCTTCTTAAGATTGTGCCGTTTTGAAATTGAAGGGGTAGGTGAATAAAGGTGTTTTCGTGTCCAGCAAAAAAGTGGTAAAATTTAATAATTAATATTGTAGTTACCACCTTCAATTATTTGCTATTTTAAAGAAATTTTAAATTTGAGTTATTTTTTTTTAATACCACACTAAATTCACAACATTTTAATGCCAAATTCATTCTAAGTACTGCCTTAAAAATTGGCAGTTTGGTTTTATGAACTTTTGCTACTGAAAGCGGTTATTTCGAGAAAAAACGTTTCAAACTTTCAAAATGGTGCCAAATTTTTACTTAACAGTCTAAAGGATTAAATTATAAACCGATACAAACGACTTAACAGATATCTCGACCTATTGACTTCAGGCTTGTATGTAAGGTCTTAAGCATCCTGAATCGGACCGACCTTGATCGATGCCTCTTCTGCAATTTTAGCCGAGCTACAACTGGACCTAAAAAAAATGTTAATTATTAAAGACTACGCAATTGTGTATGCATAGGTGGCCTAAGAGTATGCAGTTAAATTTAAAAATGCAAGGGAATACAGGGTAAGGAATATTTACGATAGGCAAATGTCAAACAGTGTTTTCCTTGGCTACTTTTATTGTTATCGTCAATGAATTTAAATAGATTGCGTAATTCAGAAGATGCACCCACAAAATTGGTACCATTGTCTGATACAATGCGAGAAGGACGATCTCTCCGAGCAATAAACCGTTTAAAAGCCGATAAGAAATGCTCGACATCTAATGCAGTAACCAATTCGATGTGAATTGCTTTGGTGGCAAAGCAAACAAATAAACAGATGTATGCCTTTAAAGTTTTACAGCCACAGCCCTTTCTATCCTTAAGGGTAAATGGGCCGGCGTAGTCAGTGCCAACGACATTAAATGGAATATTAATATTTACACGGTCGGCAGGTAAATTTCCCATAATTTGACTATTGCTCTTGGGATTGCCCTTAAAACACGTTATGCAATTTCTGTAATCTTTCATGCAAGATATCTACCTGCTATTGGCCAGCAGTATTCGCGAATTGATGACAAAAAAGCTGAGGGTGCAGTAGACGTTTATGCTCATATGAAAATAAGAGTGTCGGGGAAGGGTTTTTAGCATCCAAAATACCAGATGTTTTTTTAAGTATAATTCGAATTACTTTACCTGCCCCCCACCTTGATCAATTTATCAACAAAAATAGGATTTAATGCCGACAATTTATTTTTGTGCGCAAGACTTTTACATTGTGATAGCTTAGCGTATTCTTGTGAGAACGATTCCCTTTGCGCAAGTCGCAAAAGTATATTAAATGCCTTGTCTAATTCTGTTGCCGACAAAGGGCCGCTAAGTCGATTTGGCTTTGGCGAGCAAAACCGCAAAATATACGCCATTATGCGTTTTAATTTGTTTAGTGACGAGAAAGTTTTAAACTTAAAAAATGATTCTTCGTTAATGGCTAAACTAACACTCATAGTTTTTATGTCGGGAATTTCAAGTCACAATTAACGATTGGCCGGGTAATATTTAATTTGTGGAGCCACAGTTGGCCTTTCTACCATAATGCAGTGGCATTTCGTTACCTCTCCAAAAAAGACGAAAAAGATTTAAACCAAACATACAAGAAGAAAATCAGCAAGAAGAACAACCACCTCAAAAACGAAGATGTTTACTTCAGAATCGGGTATTAGACGGCTTTCTAAATATAAGTGCAAAAAATGTCAAAAAGCACTCTGCTTACAACATGCAATTTTCGTATGCACTTTATGTTTGAATAATACTGTTATTACTAAATCTAATGAGGAGTTTTAATAATTATTTATATTTGTTTTGATATATAAAATATTTTGTTTAGTTTTCGTTACAAAAAAATGTTTTATTTTATTTTCGGAATTTATGTGTGTTTAAATTTTATGTTATTTATTAAAAGTTTTAAAAAACGTTGTGTTATTTATTTATGTGGTAAAAATATAATAAAACACTTTAGTATGCATATCTGAAAATTTATTTTGTCTTTACAAAAATTAGTTATATTTTATTTTATTTGCGCATTTTAAATATGTATAGTATTTTATAAGTTAGTAAATAGTCTTATATTATAAAAAGTAGTGTTCTATTATTAATAGACTATTACACACTCCGCCAGTCACAGATAACTGCATCAATGTTATCCTTCCATACACTGCCATTTTTTGAACTCTTAGCCAATATTATTTAAAAATCCTTTCATTCCTTTTATATAAAGTTAGATCTTTGGTAACAAACTCTATTAAACAAATTTTGCTGGCAAGTTTATCTAAGAATATATTAAATTAGGCAATTTTGACAAAAAATTGCATTTTTAAAAAAATTCCCAAAGACCATTTAGGGCATCAATAAATAAATGTGTCCTACATGGTTTAAAAGAAAAATATTTTCTTAACAATTAAAAGTTTGTTTAATTAAACCATGAAATAGCTGAAAATAGTGATTTTTCGAAAACATGAATTTTAAATATATTTTTTTAACTCTAAGCCGGTATTATATGAAAATGTTAATTACAATGTATTAACATTAACGATAGCTTTATTAGCAAAATAAGTACAATTTTTTAAAGTTAGCTCTGCTTAGTAACTTTTGCGTAGCCCTGTATAAATGGGTGATAGGGGGAGAAAAGAAAATAGGAGTTTTTTTCACTTCTTACGTCCTTGTCTACTTACAGTTAAAAAGGAAATAAAATTAAGAGTGTATGAGGTGCACTCATTGGTGGCTAATAAATGGATTACCCCCCATTGAGACTAACAGAAAATATCTCAAGAAAGGATTTATAGGGATATCCCTATAGAGCAACCATAAAACATTTGACAAAATTTTGTTAAAACCTATGGGGTTCCCTATTGAGAATGATAGCAAATAAATCAAGGAAGGATATCCCTATAGAACAAGAAAGGATTTATAGGGATATCCCTATAGAGCAACCATAAAACATTTGACAAAATTTTGTTAAAACCTAAGGGGTTCCTTATTGAGAATGATAGCAAATAAATCAAGGAAGGATATCCCTATAGAACAACCATAAATCCCAACCGATACCGATACACCCTATAGAAACACCATACATTCCGATACAAAAATCTTTCGGTTTAAACAGGGTCTCTATGTGACATTTTAACCAGGGTAAATTATGTAATGTAAAAGTCTTACGGATAGTTTTTAAATAAATTATTTTTACAACCTAGGAGGTTTTTTGATTGAAGATAAAATACAAATGTCTATAAAATTCTTTAAAATTTTGACTTTAAAACAAAATGATAAATATGAAATGTTTTTTTTTTAATTTTCCAAGGTTATTAAGAATAAAAATATAGTACATACATCAAAGTCCCATCACGTGACTTTAATAGAAATAATTAAGGTTAATTCTGCCGTGCTTAATGAAAACGCCTTAACCAACAATTTTGCGATTTTTGGTTTACGGCATTTTCTACTAGAACAATTCATCCTGCGTCTATCCCCGGTACTCAAAAAACCGTATAGATATAGATACGGTTTTTTGAGTACCGGGGATAGACGCAGGATGAATTTTTCTAGTAGAAAATGCCGTAAACCAAAAATCGCAAAATGGTTGGTTACGGCGTTTTCATTAAGCACGGCAGAATTGTATGTCAGTGTCAAGCTAACTCCGTTTTATTTTCTGAAAATAATACAATATATGTATATTTTGTGTTCTAAGTTATACAAAAAAATATACGATTTCATTATTTTCAGAAAATAGGACGAAATTAGCTTGAAACTGACAGAAAATTAACCTTAATTATCGTGGTGTGACTTTATACTGTGGAGCATAGTATGTTTTAGTTTAAAAATTATATATAAATAATTATGAGTTTAAAGGGTGCCCAATTTTGTATATTTAGGAGGCCTAAGAGTGTGCAGCTAAATTTTAAAATACAAATGTTCAGGTCACTAAATATGGTAAGGTGTTTCAAGAGTGCGCAGTTTTAAAATGCAATTACTTAATGTCTATTTTAAAGAAAAAATCTAATTAGACCTTTTAGTCTCAAAATGCTAATTTTTAACTTTTTACAACATTTAATATTTAAATTGACATGGTCTAAAAAGGATATAATAATTAAGTTTGTTTGTTTAAAACAAATATGGTTAAAAATTCAAATATTTTTGCAAATATACTTGATATGGTCTAAAAGTATTAGGAAATCCAATTTATTAAAATACCTACTGTAAATAACATTGCAAAGTTCTTGTCCTCCAAATAGATTATGTGTCATGAAAACTTTTCAAAATGTATTAAAGTTATTATCCGTCAAACCATTTTGTCATGTTTTTTATGTTGATTCCAGTCTTCTGAAGCATTACCAACCGTAGACTTAACAGACGACACCCCAGTACCAAGCCCCATAAAACAGTCGACAAACTCCCCTCAAAAGCAACGCCCGGGGCTGCCCTATCGCTGCGACCTCTGTCCCGCGCAATACCCCAACGCGCTTGGCTTAAACAAGCACCGGCAAAGTTACCACAAGACGACGGGCGGCATGCCTGAGCTGGGTATCCCCCTTGTAAACCTAAAACAAAATGGCATCATGCAAAAGTTGGGGCAGTTGGGCATCAATTTGTACATCCCGTTGCCCAGCAGCGGCGGCGACGGCATGTTCGGCCTCCCGATCATCAATACACGGAATCCCGGAAACGTTTCCGCCCTCGGCGCCACGCAGATGCTGAGTTTAGGCCCCGTTCGGAACATTCCTAAGCCGGCCTCCAATAATAACGTTGTCAACAGAGCGCAGCATCCTCAAAAACCTTAGATTTTAGATCTATGTTGGAAAAAATCGCGTTTTTGGGATTCTCGATCGTATTTTAATATTAATACCACAAACATCTTTAGATTAATCCCTAAAGATGTCTCTGGCGAAGAGGCGAAACGAGAGTCTAAACCCAAAAATGTCGTTTTTTAAGTACATATGTATACTAAGTATATTTATTTGCACTACTAACATATTCACCATGTTTTGGTGTTTTTGATTTAGGGCGAGAAAAATATATTTTAGGTTATGGACAAGTGTAATTGAAGATATCTCGAAAAGTTTTTAGTTTGCCTTATAAAAATTACTCCATAAACTACAGTTCTATCCTAAACATTTTTCTTGCCTTAAACTCCCCCAAAGTATTATTTTTTGTATTTTTATAGAAAAAGACTAATTTTATTTAAGAGATATATATTTTGTGTTCTCATAGACTGATATGTTTCATTACTCTGTGCAATTGTTAAGAAGCGTTTTAGCTTGAGCTGTAAATATAATTATTACTATTATTATTATTTAAAAACGTAACATAAAATTACGTTTTTTTTGGATCTAAGTGCTTCATTTCATGGAATTGTCTCCATTTAATGTACAATGTTTGTGATAATAAAATATTTTATATCAAGATCTTGTTTTATTTCATTTGTTCTTTTTTTGTTTACCAGTTATGGCCAACTGAACTCTTGGGGTTGAAGGTACAGTTGTATTTACCCTGCTGAAAATGACGGATGATTGCGGATATAAATTCTTCGTCAAAACCGGATAAAAGCAGATGATTGCGGGTGTAAATTCTTCGTCGAAGCCGGATAAAAGCAGATAAAAGCGGGTAAAAATATCATCTGATAACATCTGCTTTTGTCCGCATCGCTATATCCGCGAACACCCGGTTGGTTGTGTTTTATGTCCGGTTAGTGCACCCCCGCAATCATCTGCAATCATCTGTTTTTAACCGTCTTCACTGTGTTTCGTTTATATCTGAATTTGTCCAGAATCATCTGCAAACTTCTGCTTACGTCTGTTTTTATCCGCGATTACCTGCATTTTTTTTCGTCTATTTTTGTCGGGTTTTATCTGCAAACGTCTGGTTTTATCCGCGAGCATATGCTTTTACCCGCTAACATCTGCTTTCATCCGCGAACATCTGATTTTATCCGCCAACATCTGCTTTTATCCGCGAACATCTGCTTTCATCCGCGAACATCTGCAGTCACCCGCGAACAACTGCTTTTATCCGCGAACATCTGCAATCACCCGCGAACATCTGCAATCACCCGCGAACATCTGCTTTCATCCGCAAACGTCTAGTTTTATCCGCAAACATCTGTTTTCATACGGTTTCACCCACAAACATGCTTTTATCTGCGAACGCCTGATTTCATCCGGTTAGTGCACCCCCGCAATCATCTGCTTTTATCCGCGAACATCTGCAATCACCCGCGAACATCTGCTTTCATCCGCGAACATCTCATTTTATCCGCGAACATCTGTTTTTATCCGCAAACATCTGCTTTCATCCGCGAACATCTGCAGTCACCCGCGAACAACTGCTTTTATCCGCAAACATCTGCTTTCATCCGCGAACATCTGCTTTTATCCGCGAACATCTGCAATCATCCGCGAACATCTGCTTTCATCCGCGAACATCTGATTTTATCCGCCAACATCTGCTTTTATCCGCGAACATCTTCTTTCATCCGCGAACATCTGCAGTCACCCGCGAACAACTGCTTTTATCCGCGAACATCTGCAATCACCCGCAAACATCTGCAACCACCCGCAAAGATCTGCTTTCATCCGCGAACATCTGCTTTTATCCGCGAACATCTCATTTTATCCGCGAACATCTGCAATCATCCGCGAACATCTGCTTTTATCCGCAAACATCTCAATTTATCAGCGAACATCTGCTTTTATCCGCAAACATCTGCTTTCATCCCTAAACATTTGCTTTTATCTGCAAACATCTGATTTTATCCGCAAATATCTGCTTTTATCCGCGAACATCTGCTTTTATCCGCAAACATCTCAATTTATCCGCGAACATCTGCTTTTATCCGCAAACATCTGATTTCATCCCCAAACATTTGATTTTATATGCAAACATCTGATTTTATCCGCAAATATCTGCTTTTATCCGCGAACATCTGCTTTTATCCGCAAACATCTCATTTTATCCGCGAACATCTGCTTTTATCCGCAAACATCTGCTTTCATCCCCAAACATCTGGTTTCATACGCTTTCACCCGTAAACATGCTTTTATCTGCGAACGCCTTATTTCATCCGGTTAGTGCACCCCCGCAAACATCTGCCTTTATCCGCAAACATCTGATTTTATTTGCAAACATCTTCTTTTATCCGCAAACATCTGATTTTACCCACAAACATCTGATTTTATCCGCAAACATCTGCTTTTATCCGCAAACATCTGATTTTATCCGCAAACATCTGCTTTTATCCGCAAACATCTGCTTTTATCCGCAAATATCTGCTTTTATTCGCAAATATCTGCTTTTATTCGCGAACATCTCCAAACATCTGCTTTTAATTGCAAATCTCTGCTTTCATCCGCGTTCGGTTTGCCTGTATTTCCTTTGTCCATTTCGGTCCTGTTTCGTACACAAACGTCTGGTTTCATTCGCGCTTTTTGTTTTCCTTTTTCTCGTGTATACTTTAGTTAAGTTTACCTGCTTTGTCAAATTTTACTGAGCTTTAACTAACTGGTTGTTAGCCGTTCACAGCACACAACTTTATAACTCTAAAAAGAATTATTTGAATAAAAACAACCTGTAAAGAAAATAAGTTTATTCAACATGACATTTTCCCAATGGAAAAATAATTTAATTATATTCACCAGATTTAAATTTAAAAATCAGGTATACTATAGTGAAGAGTACCACAGAAATAATAAGTCTATTAATTCTTACATATATGTAAGAATTAATAGACTTATATATATATATATTAAAAATATTGGTTATGCCAAATTTAAAAAGTTTTTAAAGTTAGATGAAAAATTCTACGCCTAAATAAGTGTTTTTCAAACAAATTACATACAAATTGAAGATGTTATAATTCCAAATGTATTTGAAATTAAACATATATGTTTTCTAACAATTAATTTAAATGTAAGCTTAATGATTAAAAAATATCTATTTATGTCCTTAAAGTATATACGAGAAAAATGAAAACAAAAAGCGCGAATGAAACCAGACGTTTGCGTACGAAACAGGACCGAAATGGACAAAGGAAATGCAGACAAACCGAACGCGGATAAAAGCAGAGGTTTGCAGTTAAAAGCAGATGTTTGCAGATGTTCGCAGATATTTGCGGATAAATGCAGATGTTTGCGGATAAAATCAGATGTTTGCGATTAAAATCAGATGTTTGCGGATAAAATCAGATGTTTGCGGATAAAAGCAGATGTTTGCGTATAAAATCAGATATTTGCGGATAAAAGCAGATGTTTGCCGATAAAAGCAGATGTTTGCGGATAAAATCAGATGTTTGAGATTAAAATCAGATGTTTGCGGATAACATCAGATGTTTGCGGATAAAATCAGATGTTTGCGGATAAAAGCAGACATTTGCAGATTAAAATCAGATGTTTGCGTATAAAATCATATGTTTGCGGATTAAAACCGATGTTTGCGGATAAAATCAGATGTTTGCGAATAAAATCAGTTGTTTGTGGATAAAATCAGATGTTTGCGGATAAAAGCAGATGTTTGCGGATAAAATCAGATGTTTGTATATAAACTCAGATGTTTGCGTATAAAATCAGATGTTTGCGGATAAAAGCAGATGTTTGCGGATAAAAGCAGATGTTTTCGGATAAAATCAGATGTTTGCGATTAAAATCAGATGATTGCAGATAAAATCAGATGTTTGCGTATAAAATCAGATTTTTGCGAATAAAAGCAGATGTTTGCGGATAAAAGCAGATGTTTTCGGATAAAATCAGATGTTTGCGGATAAAATCAGATGTTTGCGGATAAAATCAGATGTTTGCGGATAAAATCAGATGTTTGCGGATAAAAGCAGATGTTTGGGGATAAAATCAGATGTTTGCGTATAAAATCAGATGTTTGCGGATAAAATCAGATGTTCGCGGATAAAACCAGATGTTTACGGATAAATGCAGATGTTTGCGGATAACATCAGATGTTTGAAGATAAAATCAGATGTTTGCGGATAAAAGCAGATGTTTGCAGGTGAAATCTTATGAATCAGACTTTTGCGGACTAAATGAGATGTTTGCGGATTAAAACAGATGTTTGTGGATTAAAATAGATGTTCGCGGATGAAAGTAGATCTTCACGTATAAAAGCAGATGTTTGCAGGTGAAATCGGATAAAGCAGACGTTTGCCGATTAAAGTAGATGTTTGCGGATAAAATCAGATAAAACCGGGTGAATGCAGATATAAACTCAAATACAGGTATTTGCGGATGAAAACAGATAAAAGCAGACATAGATCTAAATAGATAAAACCCGACGTTCGCGGATAATATTTATACCCGCAATTGCAGATAAAAACCGACATGCCGGGTAAAATCAGATATGTCGGATAAAAACAGATATAAATGGACATAAAACTAGCTTGGTTTTTTACCCGCAATCATCCGATATTACCCGTCTTTTTCAGCAGGGTAATAAAAAAGCGCACAAGAATTAGAATGAGAGAAAACTGTCACAATATTATTATTGCTTAAAATCGGTTTATCACTGACATACATAAGTCATTAAAATAATTACTATAGGTTATAATAGTTATTTATGTATTAAGGGCAAAATAAGGTTTTTATGGTCTGAGGCGCTATTTCGAAAAGCGTCGCAAAAACCAGTTATGCCAACAATGCATACAAAACTATAAGCACGATTAATATATTATTATTTTTTATATATTATTGTTTTTAAAGACGTTTACGTCAAAGAATTTTTGTTATAATTGTCATATTATAATGTCAACTGACATCAGTCCGTTTTAAAGTTTAAAGATGGATGAAATTGAGGAAGCAGCTGAACAGGCGAAAAATTGCGGCCTGCTGTAGGAAAAATCAAAATCTTTATACGAAAAAACTACTTCGAATATATCAAATGGTGTAACATTGTTGTTCTTAATTTTTGACGTTTCATTATAGCCCGCTGGGTCATAATAACGCCCGCGGGCTATAAAAAGACGTTTACGTCAAAGAATTTTTGTTATAATTGTTATATTATAATGTCATCGTGCATAAAGAACATTTATGTCGTAGGTTAATTAAATAATATTACAAAAATATTACAATTAAAAAAAAACAAACAATATTAAAAAAAGTTTAATATTTAGTTATGCATCCGTGTTTTTTATTACTTCATTAATTAATTAAATTAATTATAATAATAATAATTATAATTATTTGGATTAATATCTTTCCTGCAGTCATGTCCCTGATAGCACAGTTTATTCTAAGAATGTTTTTTAAACCTTCCAGTGGGAATATTCTTAGGATCATGCTATATTTCTTCTAGTCATGTTCTAAGAATGTTTTTTAAACCTTCCAGTGAGAATATTCTTAGGATCATGCTATATTTCTTCTAAAGAACATGCTTAAAAGAAATATAGCATAATC